AGACTTAAGCCACACAGGTTAGTATATGCAAAGTATGATGCAAGCCATGTCACACAATCTAGACTTAGCCACACAGGTTAGTATATGCAAAGTATGATGCAAGGCATGTCACACAATCTAGACTTAGCCACACAGGTTAGTATATGCAAAGTATGATGCAAGCCATGTCACACAATCTAGACTTAGCCACACTGATTAGTACAGTCAAACCTGTCTATAAAGGACAGTCAGTGGACTGAGCCAAACTGTCCTTTATAGACAGGTGGTCTTTATATGGAGGTGGCCTAATTTATTCATTCAATCATGAATATTAATTAGGGCGGGAATTTTAAGGGAGATCATAAGCAAAACATAAAAACAAACCTACACATTGTACAATGAATAGGTCTTTTTTAATAAAAGCCACTCATTTTCATCTGGATAATTAAACAGCTTTACTTTTTTACTACAAATTATATCATGTAAATTCACTGAAACCAAGTGATTCTGCCCATGGATTCATTGCTGTATTTAATGCATGAGAACGATTGTCAACGATCGGCCACATTGGTGTTTCAGCTCGGTCTTTCACACTCTCGCCATGCAGTCTTATTCCCCAGTCTCTTACACATATTCCATCACAGGCGGTAATCAGTCCCATTGTTAGCATTGTCGATCGTACACTGTGACAAAATGCACAGACAAAGTTGCCGTGTTTGAAAAAAAAAACAAGCAAGCAAGCATTAAAAATGAAGAAGCATTGGTAATAAATAAAATTTACCAAACTCATAACGATTGCTCCAACTCTCGGTGTTGAATCAGAAAGTCAAACGAACCGGAAATGAAACACGATGATCGTACATGCAATTTTACAGTTATTTGTTGCAACCATCGACGTGTCAAAACTGCCCAAACGAAACGAATTTTCTCGATTGCGAATTATTGATATTACCTTTTATCAAAAAAAGAAGATCAAAATAAAAAACATCTTTCGTTGAGAATAACCCTGAGATGACCCCTCAGTAACAATACGTTTTGCCCATGCGCTAGCTTCATTAGCATAATTTATAACGATCAACAACAAACAACATGGCGGCCATAATAGGTCGGATTTTGCAATCCCGTGATGAAAACGAAATAAACAAATGTTTTATTATTTTGTTTGGATATTTCATATCGACAAGGTAAATAAAACATTTCTCATTTGATAAAACTGGTTCATTTTTCTGTGTTATCGAGACGAGAGGAATTTGCTCTCCATATGCGAGACAATCCAAAGAAGTGCCGTTGGCCAGCTGGGGATCGATAGCACAGTACCGATCGGAAACAAGCTAGTTTTTCATTTCAAACTTTGAATGAAACTGTTTTAATTTGTTGTTAAAATCTTTCCAGTCTCCAGGCGTTACATTAAGATGATATTCAACTTTTTTTTTAACTTTTTCGCAACTTCAAAAACCAAGTTGCGATGGTCACCCCTGTCTATACCCTATAAAGATTGCGTTCTCGGTCATCTGAACGTAACGTATGGCCACTTTCCTGTTAGCGATTCGCAAGTAGCTATTGTCTTTTTGCTGAGACCGCCTGATGAAAATGTTGGTGGTCGTTATACAAAGGGTAAAGTGTGAATAGGTCTACAATAGGGTGGTCGCTGGTCGCATTGGACAGGTGGTCGTTATATCCAGTGTCTTTAACGTGTAAATTGCGAAGGGACTGTACTAAGGTGGTCGCTATGAGCAGGTGGCCGCTCTGCACAGGTGGTCGTTAACACAGGTTTGACTGTATATGCAAAGTATGATGCAAGCCATGTCACACAATCCAGACTTAGCCACATAGGTTAGTATATGCAAAGTATGATGCAAGCCATGTCACACAATCTAGACTTAGCCACACAGGTTAGTATATGCAAAGTATGATGCAAGCCATGTCACACAATCTAGACTTAGCCACACAGGTTAGTATATGCAAAGTATGATGCAAGCCATGTCACACAATCCAGACTTAGCTACACAGGTTAGTATATGCAAAGTATGATGCAAACCATGTCACACAATCCAGTCTTAGCCACATAGGTTAGTATATGCAAAGTATGATGCAAGGCATGTCACACAATCTAGACTTAGCCACACAGGTTAGTATATGCAAAGTATGATGCAAGCCATGTCACACAATCCAGACTTAGCCACATAGGTTAGTATATGCAAAGTATGATGCAAGCCATGTCACACAATCCAGACTTAGCCACACAGGTTAGTATATGCAAAGTATGATGCAAGGCATGTCACACAATCTAGACTTAGCTACACAGT